TCGGCGGGAAGCCTGCTTCTCCCTCTCCCACTCCCCCTGCTTGTGTTCCCTCTCTCACTGTCTCTCTCTCTCTGTCAAATAAATAAATAAAATCTAAGAAAAAAGAAAAAGAAATAAGTAGCATCAGATTACATATAATTGGTTCATGGATTGTTAAACTACTGTCAAGTTTTATATTGTGGCAGAAGAGATCCCTGTTTATGCATCATAAGAAATAGAGTGAAATTTAAATGCTGAATTAAAATGTACATTTTCCCAAGAAGAAAGTATGAGAAACTTATTAACAGCTTCAGAAAGTGCTTCCTCTAAGTAGTATACCATTTTTTTCTTTATAGCCAACAAATGATATATTCTAATGAAAACAATAACACATTTATAAACATGTTTTTATTCATTAATATTAGAGCCTTTGGAGCATATATGGAAAGTAACTATCTCATAAAATAATTTTATGCGTATTAACAAGCTTTATCTTCAGTAAAAACACCATATCCTAAAGAAGAATGATTTCTCATTTTAACTAAAATTCAGTAAAAAAAAAAAAAAATCCACCTGTGAAAACAAAACACCTACTTAAAGGCCATGCATTTACTCCTCTGAGTATTTCTACTGGTTTTTGGTATTCTCTGCCTGTGGGTTTTCTTTTTTCTCAACTACTGCTACCATGACAACAACCAACAACACATTGCCACGTAGTGCACACTTGCTCTGAGCCTGACATGGCACCAAATGAGTGGCAAATGAGACCTCATTGTCCATTCATGAGTAAGACTGAAAGGAATCCAGAAATGACAGGTGTCACTGAAACTAAGTATAAACTAAATCAGAGATGTGTACTCCGAAAGACCCAAAACATAAGATTTGCACAATAATCAAATATATGATCCAAAAGTAGCTACTTGCCTATTGCTATTAGAAAAGGGCAGTCTGAGTTGTTGCTTGGCTCAACTCATTTGAACGCTAATGTGACTTTTATGCATGTGAAGGATGATAGATTAAATACTTTAGAAAGATAATCACATTAAATAAGTATAGTGAAGGAGGATTTTTCTTTTATGCTTTACTCACTCAAAGAGCCTTAAATCAATGGTGATCATCATTTGGCAGTGGGAAAAAAATATACCCACAATGGGAGATCTCTAGGGAATAAAATATATGACTTCGAGTTCCATTATTATAACATATTGGATCTTTTGAAAATGTTTTTTGTATTTTAATGTCTTAAAATAGGATAGAAGTTCTTTACCAGGCATGAGATGAGCCCCAATCAAAGTAAAAATGGAGCAGTAGGAAAAATTTGGGGAAGCCCCAAAAAATGTAGACAAGAGAAAAATTCTTACACCTCAAAGCCAGGACTTCTGATTTCTAAAATCAACCTGAGAAAGGCTAGCTTTGTCTTTGAGCCCTTCACAGTCAGCTGTAGTCTCAGTCAAATAGCAGAGAGGAGTGACTAGTAAGTCAACCCCCTATTTGATTTAAAAAGGCCCAGCAGGAAGCACACACTATGAAGGAGGATAAAGATGTGAACAGAGGCATAGCATGAGTGGGAGAGAAGACTTGTTGTCCAAAAGTGGCTGAAAAAGCTTTTCCAAGCCAGTCTATTGCATGCAACCAGGAGATAAGTTAGACCCAGGGATAAAAACCCTGGATTCTCATAGTGGCTTCTCTATTAACCAAATGCACTGACCTGGATGAACTTAGGTAAGTCCCTTCTTCTTTCTATTTCTCTCAATAGAACATTTATTAGACAGCTATTATATCCTAGGCACTAGACTATGAGCCAGAGATTAACGTTTCTCACAGGATGGGACAGGAACCAGGTGCCTCAGAATTTGCTGGGTCCCATCTAAGAACTGGTGAACAGGAATCTCTGCAAGTGGGTAATACCTGGGTAATTTTTAGGCATATTAAAGTTGAAAAGCAGTTTTCTGTGACAGAATAAAAATATGAGTGAGATACAGTTTTTATCTTCAAATGTATTCTAATCTAACTTCCTTCTCTTTAAAAAAGGTCTTTGTACTAAATAATTTCTAAAAGCTTTCTGACACTCATTTTAGATTAACTTTTTCTAACAAGATTACCATTTTACAAGGTACTTTCACTGAATAAGTAAAATTTTCATTATGTGACCTGGTTCTACTTACCCAGCATTTTTGATGTGTTCTGAATAAGTCATACAATTTCTTAGCTGCTATTCTTATTTGGAAACAGGTGAAAAAGTAAAAAACAATCAGAAATGTTACCCTTCATAATTATTTTCAACAACACCCAGGGATCAGGAGTCAGTGAACTGGGCTCTGCTTTTAACTATTTGCATGACCTTGGGCACACAAGTACACCTCTTTGGGCCTCAGCTTCCCCTTTCTAAAAGGAGGGATGAGATTACTCACATGACAAAGTCTTTATGTACTCAGATGACAGTTTCTATGGCTCTATTACTCTTAAAATTTGTGAAAAGTATTTGTGAAACATCTCTCATGTGTGAGCTCATATCAGGATCCATGGAAAACAAAATTCATATATTTGAACATTGCTCTTATGAAATTTACAAACTCATATAATCCATCCATATGATATCCATTGATTTTACTAGTAAACCATCTCTTGCATTCATATATTCATCCATTCCTGCTGCAGCTGCAGCTGCCCTCTGAAATTACTCATTTGAACCAATGCAGTAGTTCCTAGCTTCTGTTTTTCATCCAGTCTCACTACACTCCTCAGACTGCTAGGAGGAGCATCTTTCTGAGACACAAATATCATGGTGTTATTTGCTAATTTAAATTCTTCAATGGTTCTCCTGTGCTTAAAGCCACAGTCCAAACCCTCAGGAAAAGGTCATGCAGAAGCTTGTTACCAACCCTACTAGTCTCATTTCTGGCCTTTGCTAGGTCCTTGTGCCTATCAACCAACCCCATACACTTATTTTGTGGTTTTCCCCAAATGTGTTACAGGCTTTCATTTTCCCATCTTCTACTTTTTCTCTGGAATTTCATCTCTTTATCTGCCTAACAAACTTTATGCACTATAAATATCTCTTTTATATTAATAACAATTTTATATTATTTTTACATGTTTCTTCCCTGATAAGTTTTAAGCAAAATAAAGTAATAAAGCAAGATAAATTTAAAGCAAAAAAAAAAAATACTGCCTCACACATAGATGTTCGAGAAATGATTGCAAATATAAATGCAGGTAACTAGAAATACCTTCAAATAAAATTTTAAAAAAGAAAAACAGAAAACAACTGGTATACCAGAATACCCCTTTAATACACTTTTATTTAGATTTAAAAAAATCCATGTTCATAATAAAAAGAAATTTTTTTTAAATGAACTTGCCTTTCAATATGGATCATGGAAAACTTATAAGAGGTTTCTGTGTGCTCTTTGACATGAGCAATAAAAAGTGCTCACTGTAAATAAACATCAAAAAAGACATGAGCTGCTTGCTCACATTTTAAACAATGGGCATATTGAGAAGGCCCATAGTTAGGGACAAGGTCTGAAGTGAGGCACTTCCTACCTGTTAGATCTGCACTGGGCCACCACCCCAAGTCACAGGCTTTGCAGGTGAATTCATCTTGCACGTATTCATTCTCTTTGCAGGCTGTGCAAATCCAGCAGCAGCTCACTTCTCCTTTCCGTATGACCTGTAACACAGGGATAGTCCATATGACTTAAAGATGGTCTCCCCAGAAAGTCTTCTATTTCAATATGGACTTGTTTTCATACTACAATAAAAAAAGAATAATTCTTCAAAATATCCTATATGCTGAGGAAACTTATGTACATGCATTTGAATATACCTGATTATCTTTAGAGTTCAGATGTGAATTTCAATTCATTCCATGCTGGGTTTGGAGGTTTTTCAAAAATAATGTCTTTCATAAAGGGAATTGATGACATTATCTTTTTCAGAGTTAAAAATATGAAACAGTTGAATTTTATTATTTATACTCATTTGTATTATCCTCAGAAAAATAAAAAGAAATTTTTCTTCTCTGAAAGAGCAATGTTTAACCACAAAAGTTCTTATGTAATATTTTCTTATTAATTTGTAAAATCTGAGGAATTATGGAATTTTATAATTATGAATGTCTGAGCAACTTTATATACATAAAAACAGAATGATGGCTAAGAAAGTCAACTCTATTATTGGCCCTGTGACTTGCTCTAGTGAACTTAAAACATTACGTAAATTGTTGGAAGAAAAATTACTAGTCCAAAATTACTGAAGAATCATTCATTATTAGAGTAGTTTAAACTTTCTCCCATTTTCAATCTGTTTGTTAAGCATATTTCACTTGACATGATACCAAAAAAGTCAAAACATTTAAAGTGATTTTCTTGTAAGCAGCACGTATTAGATCTTGCATTCATCTCCAGTCTGAGAACTTCTGCCTTTTATTGAAGTGTTTCATACATTTACATTTAGTATAATCATTGGTGTGGTTGGAAATGAAAATTTGACCAGATGCTGTACATTGTGTACATAAGGTATAGTGTGCTGGATGTTTTTCCTTGAAGTATTGGCCTTTGTTCTGGCAGGCAGCTAACTCCTTGTGAGCATTGTTTTTAATCTTTTAGGACAAGTCTAGAAGAGTCTCTACTCTAGGAATAATTAAGCCTCATTATTAAGGTGTGACCACCTGGGGTTTCTACTTAATTCCTTGTGTATTCAACAAGGTATCTCCACTCTGGCTTGTGGAAAATGAGACAATTCCTGGATCTGTGTAAGCTCAGGGATTCCAGCTCCCCAGTAATTTTTTTTTTCACCTGAACTTTTTGAATTCTGTCCTATTCATGTGCAGACTTGTGTTCAGTCAAATGCTTAAGAGAACCTGTATGCTAACTTCTAGGACATTTTTTCTGAATAGTTCTATCCCTTACACTACACAACAAATTCTCACTGCCGTGGCCTTCCTAAACTTTGATTTCTGTCTTCTTAAATTATCAAGATCACCAAGCTCTGTGTTCTCTTTCACTGAACAACAAGGAAATTGCCTCCAGGCAGAAAGCCTGAGTGATTTTAGGGTTCACCTTGTTTGTTTGCCTTCACTTTCCTGGAATCAAGGTCATGCACTGTTTTCCAATGTCTGAACACAGTTATTTCATATATTAGGTCAAGTTTTGTAGTTGTTTACACCAAAAGGCAGTCTGGGCTCTGTTACTCTTTCATGGCTAGAAGCACAAGTTCTTCCCTAATACATTAAACATTATTAAATGTTTTCATATGCAAAATCAGAAATTAAATTTTAAACATTGCCATACCTTAAAATCATACAACCTCTAGACTTTGTGAAAATAAAACTATCTTCTCACAGAGCAGGTGAAAATTTATACCCCTATCTTTGAATTACATATAAAATATCAAATGACAGTATATTTTCAGAAAATGTAAAAGGTTTTCTTTTTCTTCTTTTACTTTCAGATAACTTCAGAAAGTAAAATCAAATTAAGTCTTTTTTTAAAAAACTCCTCGCAACCTTAAAATAAGCATGGGAAATTTACATTCCAGATAATAATTTTTTAAGTGATATGAGAAAAATTGAGTAAATGAATACTGCTTTCTTATTTTAATTGGCATAAAAGTACAGTAAAAGCCATCACAAAATACTGTATATCCTTTTAGTCAGCTTTGTCTCTTTCTCTTTACTATAAAAATAATTCTACTATTCAACAAATTTAAAAGGTGGTAATGCTAAACAAATTGATTTATGCAGGATGAATAGTGAGGGTAGATCCTGTGAGTAACTGGCATTTGGAAAGTATTTAAAATTAGGTTTTCTATGACTGAATAAATGAATGAATAAATGATTAGCCTATCCCTTTAATAAATAATGAAAATGGAGCTGCTTAAATAGAGTTATATTTTATGACTCCTTCTTTATTCTGCCACCAAGTATGTGTACTTTTGGCATACACATCTATAATATCTGGTTTGTCTTTTTTTTTTTTTTAGAGAGGGTGGGGAGGGTCAGAGGGATAGAGAGAGAGAATCTTAAGCAGGCTCCATGCCCAGCACAGAGCCCAATGGGGGGCTCTTTCCCACAATCCTGAGATCATCATCTGAGCCGAAATCAAGAGTCAGATGCTTAACTGATTGAGCCACCCAGGAGCCCCTGACTTGTCTTTTCCATCTCTCAGTCACCCCTCTAGACTGAGGTTTTATTATTTCACACCTGAATTCTGGTCCTTGTCTCCTAATCATATAACATGCTCTAATTTCTTCTTGCACTAGAGTAACATGCATACAGCTGCCAGGATCACCCAAATAGGCCATGGGCTCCTCAAGGGAAGGGACCAAGCTGACTTTCATCATTTTCAGATCATAGTCTTCAAGGGACAGATATGTACCAAAAACACACAGTAGGCAGCCAATGGATGGGTATTGAATAAATCTTTTTAAAAAAATACAATTAGGCCACTCAAAGAATTTTAGTGCCTCCCTACCCCAATACCTTTGCAATATAAGCTCTTCAGTCAGGCATTCACTTAGTCCCTGGTCCTTGTTTCTGCACCTTACTTCGTCTTATTAATTTCTCACATAAGTCTGCCAAATGAGGACAGAGCCTCTGTGCCAGCCAGCCCCTCACTGTGTCTTCATTAATGTCCACATAACTGTTTGTTTTGTTTGTTTTGGAGGGAGGTTTCAAATACAGTAGAGACATCATTGAATTTGTGTTTCATCTGACTTGCTTTCTATAAGGAGTATTCTGGCTGCTATTGGAGAACAGAGTTTAAAGAGAGAGAGAAAAGAAAGAATGTGTGTGTGTGCATTTTATATGTGTGTGTTTTAATCCATGGTTCTCACATGGAACCATATAGTAAACAAATAAATATGTTTTAATGAAAAAATGACTATTACCTTCCATTTAGAATGTCATCTTTTCTCCATCAGTCCATCTCTGTTACTACTTTCAAGGGCAGATACATCACAAGCTCCAGACTGTATTTCTGGAGCAGTAAATCCTTTCAAACATTGCCTTATTTATAATTCTCTAGTAGCTAAAATACAGTTGGTTTTTTATTACTACAAGCTACATTTTGTCCTCTAATTTTTTCATATCCATATAATAGATATGTTTCTTTCAGATACAGTTCTTTTTAATTCTTGTTATTGTCTCTAATTTATATCCAAATCTTCCCAATAGCATATTATTGATTATTTTTATATTTTCTGTATTTTTATATGAGTCATGCTTACTGATATTTCTTTTGTATGTATAGTGGCCCCTACTGATCCATGGTCAGTCTTTATCCAGAAGCATATGATCCTCCTGACATATTATCAGGAGGTCAATAGTAGCCTGACACTACATCACGGTGCCTACGTACATCATTCACCTCACTTCATCTCATCACATAGGCATTTTATCATCGCACATCATCACAGGAAGAAGGGTGAATACAGTATAATAAGATATTTTGAAAGAGAGAGAGAGAGACCACATTCACATAACTTTTATTACAGGATATTGTTACAATTATTATATGTCATTATTAGTTACTGTTGTTAATCTCTTACTGTACCTAATTTATAAATTGAACTTTATCATAGTTATGTTAATCTAGGAGAAAACATAGTATATATCAGGTTTGATACTATCTGTGGTTTTAGGAGGAGGGTGTCTTGGAACATATCCCCAAATAAGAGGGGACTACTATTGTATATATTCAACAACTGAATAAAGTATTTTTTCACTTTTGTCACAAGCAAACACTTTTTATGATAGCTCTGAGTCACGATAACAGTTTTGGTATTTTACTGAAACTGCCCTTGAAGGACCAAGGCTTACTAAGGCCCAGAGCCTGCTTTGATTCTTTTTATGTCCTGTGTACACGGTGCTGTTTATTGTTAGTGAGACCAGGTGAGCTGCTGGTACACACAATGCCGTGATTCAATTACATAGACCCTGTAGGAATATTTATGCAAGGAAATCAAGTGTTCGTTTTGTGACTAAGTTTCTAAAGTAACCTGAAATGGATTTTTTTAATTAAGGTTTTATTTAGAAAAAGAATACAGGCACCTGGGTGGCTTAGTTGGTTAAGTGTCTGACTTGACTTCCACTCAGGTCTTGATCTCAGGGTCGTGAGATAGAGCCCCTTGTCAGGCTCCAGACTCCATGGGGAGTCTTCTTGAGATGCTCTCCCACTGCCCCTCCCTCTGCTTCTCCCCCAACATGCATGCATGCTCTCTCTCAAATAAATAAATCTTAAAAAAAAAAGAATGAAAGAAAATAAATAGCATCAAGAGAATATAATGAAGGAAAGGTAACTGTGAATCAGAGGAAACAGAAAATTTTCTTCAGAAGAGAAACGCCTGAAAGACTAAAGAGAATAAAGAAACTGAGTCTACTGTAATTAGGACTGTTGGAGAATCAGTTGCATGAGAGAAGAGTTAGCGCTGCCCTCCTCTGTTCCTATCATGTCCTGTAGGAGAGCTGGGGCAACAGTCAACTCAAATACGGATGTTTTTCTCCCACTGCACTGAGTTCCTCAAAGGAAGGGGCCATTTTTAAGTTTCCTTTGCATTCCCAGCACTAGTGAAGTATGGAAGCTGAAGGGACTCCATTTTAGAAAAACTCCATCTCTGCTGTTTTTTTTCTGGGTCCCTTTTACTCATGTTCCATATTTTGCCTCTAAATAA